GTCATGCTGGGTAAGGTGGAGGGTCAGAAAAAAAGAGGAAGACCCCCAACGAGATGGATCAGCCAGGTGGCATCATTGATGTCGTCAAGTGTGGCGGCAGTAGTGAGGTTGGCCCAGGATCGGACATTGTTTCGTTCTGCTGTGCATGGGGTCGCTATGAGTCGGTTCCGACTTGATGGCACCTGACACCAACAACAATCAAATCATAATACAGCCCCAAATTCCATTCAATTAGTCCCCCATCCTAAAAGCAACCTTGCAGGAGCAACCATTATTGTCACTTTTTTGTGTCTTATGTGTTACCAGGAACCCCTGTTCAAACCCACCAGGAAAAGATTGGCATCCATGAAGATGACAGCCTAGCAAACACTATAGGGCAATTCTCCTCTGTCTTACAGGGTCACTAGGAGTCAGAATTGTCCTGATTGCACACAACAACGTATGTTACCATAGCTGTCACTCTTACCACATTCTGTACACACACATGTGGATACTACACAGGATTACTTTACATGTGCTGTTGTCTGTTTTTTAACATATATATTGTTCTACAGCTTGATTTTTTCCATTCAACAAGATGTCTTGGCTATATAACCGCTACCACCAGTCTGACTCCTGGTGTGGTGCTGTGGGTTAATACGCTGGGCTGCAAAGTCGGTTTGGACCGCAAGTTTGGTGGTTCAAGCTCACCAGCTGCTCTTTGGAAACCCTATACAAAGTCGCCATGGATCGGAACCAACTCAACAGCAGTTAGCAACATAAATAAATCCCTGTAACAGTGGTTATAAGCATGGATTCTGAAATCAGCCTGCTTCAGATGGGGTCTGTCACTTGCTGGCTGTATGACTTTGGGTAAATTATTTAACCTTTCTGTGCCTTATTTTAGAAGCTCTGGTGGTACAGCAGTTAAGCACTTGGCTGTTAATTGAAAGGTTTGGTGATTCAAACCTACCTGTCGGCTTATAAGGAGAAAGACTTGGTGATCTGCAGCTGTAAAGATTACAGCATAAGACCCCCTATGCAGAGGTTCTACTCACCACAAGGGGTCCTCAACAGCACCTAACAACAACATACCTCAATTTACTCACCTGTAACATTAGACATAATGTGGTTGTTGTTAAGTGTCGTCGAGTCAGTGCCGACTCATAGAAAGCCTGCATAGGGTTTTCAAGGAGTGGCTGGTAAGAGTTTGAACTACTGACCTTTGTTGTTGGTAAGTGCCGTTGAGTTGGTTCCGACCCACAGCAACCTGTATAGGTTTTCCAGGGAGCAACTGATGAGCTTGAACCGGCAATCTTGTAGCTCAAGCTGACTTTGTTGTACAGTGCATTAGCCCACAGTGCCCCACCAAGACTCCATTAGACAGAATAGTAAACCAAAAACCAAGCCTAAAGCTGACCAGTAAATTCCAACTCAGAACGACCCTGACGAATACAGTAAAACTACTCCATAGGGTTTCCAAGGTTATAATTCTTTATGGAAGCAGAGTGCCTATATTTGCCCTGCAAAGCAGCAGGTGGGGTAACAGCTGAGTGCTTAACCACTGTGCCACCAGGGCTGTAGCTATAATAATAGTAGGGTCGTTATGAAGAATCCATGAGTTACTATACAGAAACCACTGGGAAGAGTCCCTTGCAGCATATCTTAAGTGCTCTATAAATATTTGCTATCAATACTAGACTCCTGGTGTGGCACTGTAAGATAATCACTGGACTGCCGCTCGACAAACCCACCAGCCGCTCCTTGGAAACCCTGTACAGGGCTGCTATGAGTCTGAACTGACTCGATGGCACTTAACAACAACATCATCATCATTAGCTGCTTCATTCTTCTTCACTAGGCCTGCACTCCTTATTACGGATTTCCGGTCCTTTATTTTCACTTCTTGTCTATGGACGGACATCTGGGTTGAGGCTGTTTCTCCACTGTCACAAATGGGGCAGTGAACATCCTGGTTCCCAGGTTCTACTTTAGGGTCGCTCTAGGGCAGGTGTTGTTGTTAAGTGCCATCAAGTCGGTTCCAACTCATAGCAACCCTTTGTAGCGTTTCCAAGGAGGGGCTGGTGGGTTTGAATTACTGACCTTGCAGTTAGTAGTCTAGTGTTTATCCTACAGTGCCACCCCAGGACCCTAACGCTATTAGTTGTTGTTACTAAGTGTTGTTGAGTGCCAACTCATAGTGACTCTGTATAGGGTTTCTGGGGAGCAGTTGGTGGATTTGAACCACCAACCTTACAGTTTAGCAGTCCAGTGCTTATCCTACAGTGCCACACCAGGACCTTTCAAGTTGTCCTCCAAAGTCGTTACAGTACTTGCTTTCCTTTGTTGTGTTATGTGCCGTAAAGTCAGCACATAACCCTGTACAGGGTTTCCAAGGCTGTAAATCTTTATGGGAACAGAAAACCTCATCTTTCTTCCATGGAACAGCTGGTAGTTTCAAACTTCCGACCTTGCGGTTCACGGCCCGATTCATAACCACTATGCTACCAGAGCTCCTTCACCCAATTCACAAGAAAATGTTTTGCTGTCCTTTGGGCTATACCAGTTTAGCATGCCTGACAAAACTGATAAGTCCTGGAACATAGTATTTGTCTTTCCTGAATCTGGCCTCTCCATTTTTGTGTCTATTCTTCCTGAAAACCAAAGGTATTTATCTGAGAACTTGTTGACCTGGAGGAGTCCAGAGATTAATCCACAACAGTAGGGCGGGCATTAGGGCCTTGTTTCACAGGGTCCTTGGTGACCTCCTGGAATCTAGGGCACACATACAGCTCAGTCACTGGAACACACAGACACATGCAAGATAATGCCCTTACCCACGTGGGCTCCACAACAACCTCACACTTCTTCCTGTAATAGTACTCATTCACGCTGCATGGCTCACAGCACCTGCAGCAGGGGTAAACACGTGACCGACAGTATGCGCTGGAGAATTGGTTGATGAGAAAGTCAATGAAGAAGGTGGCCTGGGGAAATAAACACAAGCACCACATTCATGAAACTGCTATTTCCTCTTCTTCTGTTATTAATATTTAATGTCTCTAATATCTAATTTTTTTTAAAGTTATTTTTATTTTGGCAAAACATGATGGGGCTTCAAACAGTTCATGGAAAAATTCCATTATCTTTCTGTTCCAATTTTTAATGAATTTTTTGAAGTTCCTTCATAGATATAATAATAAATTTGCCATTTTAACTATTTAAGTATACAATCCAGTGACATCAGTTACATTTATCGTGTCATACAACCAAGACCACTATCCATTTCCAAAAGTTTTGTGTTACCCCCAAACAGAAATATTGTACCCCCTAATCAATAGCTCCTTATCACCCCCTTGTCACGACTCATAAACATTGGTCTCTATTCTATGTATTTGTCTGTTCTAGATATTTCCTATAAGTGAGATCACACAATATTTTTCCATTTGTGCTGACTTATTTTACTCAGCATCATGTTCTCAAGGATCACCCAGTTCATGGCTTGGGATTAGGACTTCCTTTCGCTTGATGGTGGAGAAATAAGGGAAATTTCTTTTTGTCAAGTCCTTTTCAGAAAGCTTGAGAAAGAGACTCTTACCAAGCCAAAGTAGGAGAGGGTTGAGCCGATGTACACAATCAACTGGATAATGTCAAATTTTCCTCCCTGAGAACAATGTAGAACAAAACTCAGAATCATAAAAAAAGACCACGCTTACTGGTTGAATAGTAATAGAACCCCTTAGTCAACCTTCAGACCTGGAAACTATCTCACCTCATGGCTCAATTTCCATTCTAACAATAGACAGGTCTATAAGGGGAGCAATGACACCAGGGAGGTATGCACACCTTAGCATCATCAAATATTCAAGATCAAAAGGGCAGCATTTACCTAAGGTCAAAGTTCAGAAGGCAGGAATGGGGGTAGGAAAGAAGGAGGACAGGAAACAGGAACACAGGGAAGGAGTGGATTGAGTGATGTTACATTGTGGGGACTGCAGTCATGAAACAAACTGTCTGTGACTCACTGGATGCAAAATTAATTGCTCTCTAAACCTTCACCCGATTCACAATAAAATGTTTTGTTTTTTAATTTCCTTCTTGGAAACGGACTGGGCATGTTTCTGTGACTGGAATCCATAGTGACACAATGTGCCTTTGCTCTAAGGTGCAATTGTCAAGTCCAGGAGAGAGGGACGACCAGGTCTCAAGTGCTCACCGCAGCTCCTCCGAAAGGACTGTCTTCCTGAAGCCAATGTAAGTTACGTTCTGTTACTTACAAATGATATTTTAGTCATTTCCTTTTTTTAAAAAAAGCATCAGAATATTTTTTCAGTTAAAAACTAGTCTTTTTTCCATCCCCACTCTTGTTCTCGCCTGATGACTTGTTCATGGACAGCACCCCAAGGACAGTTCTTCCTCCTCTCTCTTCTCCCACGTTTGCAATGTGCGGTGCCAGCTAGTGACTCAGAACAAAAACAACACCCTCCCTGGGGGAAACACCACAACCAGGACACGGGCCTTGGAACGAAGGGGTCAGGAGCTAGGAGCAGAAACTCACGGTGCCAAATACCAGGATGTCAAAACGAATCCCGAAGACTTTTAGGAGAGTCCGTTTTTCAATATTTGACTCTTTATAGTACTTGGCATACCTGTAGGAGGAAAAGTATCTGTCGTTATAAAAACCTTCTTAAAAGTAGAAGCATTGGCATTGTAGGAAAAGAAACACTAAAACGAATTACTTGGTTAAACAGTATCCAAACTCATGAACTGCCCTTTCCTACCCTCCTAGGACCAAAGAGATGCGTTACCTGCTTTCCTTATCCATCACCATATGGGGGGAAATCTGCTTTTAGTTTAAGGCCAAAATGAACAATTGTTAACCTTTAAAGGATTGACAATAAGCAGGGAAATTAAAAAAAACTTCCTGCAATCTGAGACTTCCTTAAGAGAGAACATTAGGCTTGATGGTAGGGTGGGGAAGGCAGATGGGGAGTAACTGCTTACTGGGCACAGGGTTTCCTTTTGTTGTTGTAGTTGTTAAGTGTCATTGAGTCAATTCTGACTGATAATGACCCTGTACAGGGTTTCTGATGAAAATGTTTTGAATCTTACCTCAAAAAAGAAAAAGAAATAGGTTTGGCGTCTAAAACAAAAGAGGGTGAGCGTTAGATAGTTATTAGTGGATTGGGAATAGGCACACCGTTGTACCATTGCCATTCAGTTGGCTCAGACTCATGGTGACCTCATGTGTGTCACAGTAGAACTGGACTCCACAGGTGTTTCTTTTTTACTTTTTAATTGAAAAAACTTATATTTAGAATTAGTCAGCGGACCTTAGTTTACATGATCCCAAGCATCATGGTCAGGAGCCAATTGAACATATGTCTTCTTCTCTCCATCTGGCCTGCTCAAGGCGCTGACCTTGGCCACGTCAGTTTCACAGAGGTTCTTCACAGCATGTTGGATATGGTGCTTGTTGGTCTTGACATCCACAATGAGCACAAGTATGTTGTTATCTTCAATCTTCGTTGTGGCTGATTCAGTGGCCGAGGAACTTGCTGGTGGGCAGTGGTCAAGCTGGTTTCTTCAGGGGCTACTCTGCTGAGATAATAGGGCTGCCTTTGAAGCCTCAGGGAGCTGGGTGACATGTAGATCTTTTTTAGTGGCTGTGGATGGCTTCAGCACTGTTGTCTTGGCTTTCAATGCCTTTGCTTTGGCTTCAGTTTTGGTAGGGTCTCATGGACTTGTAGAACCAAGTCTCACAGAATACTTGTCATGTTTTTCATCAAAGCAGATTAAGTAATTTGTAGCATAGTGCATACTGTGATTGCTAGCTTTTTCTCTGTAGAATGTTCAATGGCTGATTTTTAAAAGGACATCATCACCAGACTTTTCTTTCAAGGTTCCTCTGGGTGGACTTGAATAGCCCACCTTCTTTCAGCTAGCAGCCAAGCACATTAACTATTTGTACCACCAAGGGACTCCAGTGCACCTCAGTAATCACCCAGATACTCAATTCGCCCTAGAGGTGTAGTCAGGCCAAGTGTTAAAATAATAAGGAAGGCTTAAACTGCATGCTTCCAAAGCATTTACATGTCCCTCTCACCACCTTTGGGCTATTGTTTTTAGATTGCTGCTGTTGTTAAGAAGAAATTCCCACTCATAGCAATCCTATGATTGACAGAATGAAACACTGCCCAGTGTCACTCCATCCTCACAATCATTATGCTTGAGCCCATTTTTTGCAGCCATCCTATCAGTCCATCTTGTTTTTAAATAAAGGTGAAGGTTTTCTATTTGAGTTATTACATCACAGCCTATTTATAGGTGTGGAGAGAAGAAAACAGATGAACTTCTGAAATATAGCATGGAAACTATGAAGTGGTTGTTTTAAAAACTCTCAAAATCTGACATTGAGATCCATTGGGTATTCTCAGCCATGCCAATGTGCAGTCAGACCAGACGGGTTTCACTTTCTTTTCTTTTTTTTAAATTGTGAATTATGTGGGTTTACATGGGAGAACATGTTTTATATTCATCCTATCGTATTTCATTTCATTGCAGTGATTACAATCCCTTCCATGCATCATTAAATAACCAAAGAGTACACCCCATAGGACCGCCCCCCCACCCTGACCCCCGGCCGTCAGCACACAACCCCTCTCCCTCCCTGAGTCCACTGTCCCCACTCGCACCATCTGGTCACGTCATCGCGTCTTTGTCTCCATCCCTGGCATCACTGCCTCTTTGAGTAGTGTCATGCTTTCTATTCTTCTTACTTGATGGTCCCAAGGACCTCAGCTCCTAGGCTGCAAAATCAATCACTCCCCTCCTTTTGTCAAAAAAACACATCTACCTCTACATTTCCAACCCATACAGTCATTCCTGATGGCTGTTATTCACTATTGTACCACAAGAGTTTTATCACCATTTCCTTTCACCAGCCCAGTCCAAACAGATTGGAAATCATTCAGTGGAGGTTCCACCTACCCCTGCCTCACCTAGAACTAGGCTCCCTCTTGAAAGCTTGTAAGCTAGTCACTTCTTGCCTTTGTAGTGTTGTGCCCAGAATTCAGGGTCCCCAAAGACCACCCAGGAGCCGTGTACCGATGCAAATACATAAGGGTTGTTTAATCAAGCTCGAGCCAGGT